AAAGAAAGTTGGTAAATAATTAAGTATAGACCCAACAGTTTGGCTGCCTGAACTGAAAGCTCCCTGACTTCATTGATAGCTATTTAAAGACACATCTTCCCTGCCCTTCAAAAATGGAACTCCTGCCAATTAGGAGAGAAAACTTGCCATTTTAAGACCTTTGCTGTTGGACCCAGCGTTGGCATAACTGGTAGATGACCTCAGGAAAGGTCAGTGGAAGGTCCTTCCCACAGGACATTCCCTGGTGCTTTACCCAGCTGGACTAGCAGAGGGGTTTCCACTCCTTCCTTTGTGGGACTGTTTTGCAGGCTGGGCTTTTGGCAAAGCCAGCTAGACCTTCAGCCAACAGTACCTCCAAAGCTGAGACAAGCTGTGAAAACCAAGCCCCAACTTGTTTTTGAGAAGTACGAGGGTTAGAATTTACAGTAAGGAGTAGCACAAAGATAGAGGAACCTGGGCTTTCTCATCTCTGTTGTACCAAGCTGCCCGTTTTATTCTAGAGCAGGGTGCATGCTAAGAAGAGAATTTGCATGATATGGGATAAAATTTTCATATTCAGTTTAGGGATTTAGACAAACAGGTCCATTGTATATGCTGTAACTGTATAAGCCCTGTATCTTTTAAATTATTCTATTTTCTTCCTTAATGTGAGTGTAGCATGCCCAAGCTGTCAGAAGAAAGACCACAGTCTTCTGAGTTTATCCGTTCCTTTAAAGTTTTTGAAAGTTGCGATACAAGTGTATGTAGGTACAAATAGTACAACAGTATCACACACGTTCCTACAGTTTGGGGTTTTGAAGACTTGGCACAGTACTTGCAGATGGGTATCTGCGAAACAGCAGCAATAACATCAGTGGATTCCAATGTTGATCCATAAGGAATACAAATGTGAATACATTACTCAGCAGCTTATGAGACCTCTCAGTCATTTTGAAAAGAACAAACCTTATGCTTAAATTTTTTTTACAGTCATGTACATAGACCTAATATTAAGGTAAGATAAAGAAAGATACTAATAAAGTAACAGAACATGTTCTTTTCATCCTGTCAGACTTAAAGAAAATACCCAGGTAAGGTCCCTTGAAAGGGATGCAGTGTGTTTAAAGCTAACCATGAACTTCACCGTTTTCCCAAAGCAGGGCAACTGTGAACAGTCCCTGTTTCCTTGACTATTTACAAGTGTTTTTTTTTTTAACAGTGCTAGGTTGTAATTACTCATTCTGTTTGTGTTTGATCAGGTTGATGTTGTCCCTTATTAACTCTTACTGTGATAGGTAATTATTTGCACATGTTCATTCTTGGATTACAACAGCTTAAAAATAGCTATATAATGAGATTGGAACCAGCAAAATAAAAATAGCTGTATAAAATTAAATTGGTGAGAACATGATTCACCTCTCTGGTCACATCTTTCACATCTTTGCTGTGTTTGCAGTGATCACAGTGGGTACTGCATGGCTGCTGCTTTGCTTGGTTGCAGCAACCATGAAAGTTAATGGCCATTTTGGAAACACTGATCTCTTAAGATGCTAAGTCCTCTCATCAGTGCATGTGGAACAGCAGACATGGTGCAGGTTGTGAAAAAAGATTATTTTTCTCTTTTAGGCCACAGTACGGTGGCAAATTCTGTCAAGGCTCAAGTCGTATTTATCAGCTTTGCAATTACCAGCCCTGTCCACCAAACAGCCCGGACTTCCGAGCCCAGCAGTGTGCAGAATACAACAGCAAACCCTTCCGGGGATGGTTCTACAAGTGGAAGCCGTACACGAAGGTGGAAGGTAATTACAGCCCTGCTCTGATGGACAAAGTCAATTGCAGGAAGCAAGCTATAAAACTAATTCATCCATATTCTTTGGGCAAATATGACCCTGATGTAAGCAAACAGAAATTCAATTGGCTTGTTTGGAGATGTGTTTGCTTTCTAGCATACCTGAATCTCACTTTCTGTGTGATTCTGCCTGTATGAACGTGCAGAGCTGATTCTGATTGTGAATTTAAATCTTTGTCCTTGGCATGACTCCCTGGCCGTTGCTACTCTCTCTTTTATTTTATATTGGATATGCTTTAGTGTAAAATGAAAGAAAACAACAAAAAAAATTTCCATGGATTTTTCAGCATGGGAAATATGAGCTCCCACAATAACACTACCAGACTCTTCCTTCATTTGGAATGTTCTCAGATTTCTAAATGTAACAATAAATCAACCTTTTGACTTTTCTACTGGTATAGTCTCATGAGAATTGCAAAAAAGACCAGTGTCCTGATATAAATTTTTAAGGCTAGCTTTTTCTACCAGATCTTTGTAAGTCAGGTCTCAATAACTGTTTCTTCTCTTTTGTAGAAGTTAAGTTCATTTCTTCTTTACCCATTTTTATTTTATTATTAGAATCAATATTCACTTTTATCAGAAATAACCAATATTTTTAGCAGTTTAAAAGCACAGTTTACAGGTGCCATTGTTACAGAAGTGGGTAGTGTATAATAAACAGAAGTGGGTAGTGTATATCACATTGTAGCTGCTCTGTTTAGACCTGTGTGAATTTGCTTTGAAGGGTATTACATGTATAATGTTATACATGCATACATATAACTTTTATTTATAGCCTGTTTATTTGTCCTTCAAAAGATTTTGGAGGTACTTCGTCTGGTATTTAGAAATCTATGTTGTAACTAGTGTGAATGTAGGAAAGAGTTTCACAGCATGTCCCGATGGACATATTATAGGCAGAATGAGGCATCTTGTTTAACAGAAATTAAGCTAAACTTCATTCATTTTAAAGGTAAAGGGATCGGTTTAGCAAAAGAAATTGAAGCTTAAGATTAGGAACAAAGTATGTAATTTCTGAAAGGAAGAAGTTCCCAAATAATTCTGAAATTAACAATGCATCACTGTCCTAATTCTCTTAACTTCTTTCCCAAGACCCGTCTTTGTGCACTTAAACCCGTGATCTGGTTTTCAGAATTGCTACACATGTTTGGCCCTGTAGAAAGAGTGGAGTGCTACATACTACCAAAATCCAGTTGCTTATTTAAGGGCAGAAAAGCATTTTGAATTTGATTTCATGCTCCTGAAAACATCCCTTACTTGGTCCCTTACTTGCATGAAAATTGTGTGCTTCAGCAAGTGTTACAATATTTCAACAGCACTGCTGGATTTTTCGAGGAAGAATTTATTAGTCCTTCATAAGCACAATATACCATCCATGTAGAAGAAGAAGAAGAAGAAGAAGAAATCTGATTGACAATGCTGTGAATTTTTGAGAGGAAAAGTGCTTTTATTAAGGGGAAATCTGTCCCTACTTCTAGTTTCCTGCTCAACCTATCATTTGTGCAATCTTGCTGCTTTTTCATTTTTTACTTAAAAAATAATGAAAATATTACCAGTCTCCCATTTCTCTTTTTTTCATAAAAAATGAAACTTGAAATTGTGGGCAAGTGCTTTTGAAATATAGGGCCACATCAGCAGCTCAGCTAATGCAATATGTGTGTTTTCACACTGATGTAGAATTTTAAATTATGTGAGTGTCTGGGTTGTCAAATACGCATTATTTTAAAAGAGTATAATATAAGCTGCTGTATTTGGCTGTATTTCTCGCTATCTTGGTGTCCCAGTATGTGACCAACCACAAATTACCTTGTAGCTTCCCTGTTACCTTGGATGTGGGAAGAAATAATGCCAAAACTTTTTTATTTTTATTTTTAATTTTCTTTGGTCTGGTAACACTTTCCTGTCTTGTTCTTTTCCCAGAGGAAGACAGATGTAAATTGTACTGCACAGCTGAAGACTTTGACTTTTTCTTTGCAATGTCCAGCAAAGTGAAGGATGGAACGCTGTGTTCTCCAAACAAATATGATGTTTGCATTGATGGAATTTGTGAAGTAAGATAAAATTAAGTTTCTTACTATCCTAATGCCTTTTTTTTTTTTTGGTGGGCAGTTGACCACTTTATCAAAAATGCAGCTGCTTTTTCAAATTCCCTTGTGTCTGAGTCCTTTACTTCTGCCTTTTGGTTGCAGCAAGTAGGGTGTGATCATGGACTTGGTTCCAAAGCTGTATTGGATGCTTGTGGAGTTTGTAAAGGAGATAATTCAACATGCAAGTTCTTTAAAGGCCAATACTTGATCCAGCACAAAGCTAATGGTAAGGAAAGCTGTTCCACATGATCATCAACTCATTGCTCTCTGTATCCCCATGTAATATATATGACTCCTTGCTCATTAGGGCAGTGGCTGAAAGTCCAGATGTGAACTGAAAATCACAGGGAGAGTGAGAGGAGAGTTCACGTTTCTCCTGTTCCTTAGTAACAAGAAACTATGAACATAAGTCTTGGTTAGTTAATTTGCAGGCATTCCTCTTGTCTGCTAAGTCACTTCTTTCTATTACATTTCAATTTTCTTTTTAAAAAGTTTAGGATTCAGGCAAGTGAAAAAAATAGCTGTAAATAATTCTGTCTGGAATGAGCTCGTGGAAGATATGAACAGTGGTACACAGCATAATGCCAAACATGACAGCACTTCCCATGTCCATTTTTAAATTAAATTCATTGGAAGCCATCCAGCTGATTCAATGAATGACCCAGTCACTAGGCTGCAGACTTTTCTTCATTGGACTGTCTTCATTGGGCTTGGGAAGCAATCTAATTCTGTCTCTATTTCCCAGGCGTAAATTGCAGATAATAAGTATTTCTTTAACCTTAGGAGTGTTTCGAGGATTCATTTACTGATAATCCTAAAATGTGTCAATACTACAGTGATATAGGCCAGGAAAGTATTTAGCATATAGTTATATAGAGATAAAATATAATGCTAGGAAAATCATCTGACCAGAATGCTCTGCAAAGTTAGCCATGTGCAAAGTGGAGGTTTTCAGTGATGTCTGGTCAGACTGTGCAATAAGAGAGGCTTCTAAATGCTCAGGGGGTTGTTGGCCACAGCAGGGGGATCCAGTGGTAGACAGGGCTCCATGAAAACCCTGTGTCCAAGTGCATCTCGCCCCAGAAGCTCATCCATGATTAAAATAATGCCTTCCAGCTACCCTAGGGAACTAAAGGGAGAACATGGTAAAACCATTACAGTAAAAACCACTGCTAGTCTGATATGCATTTTTGCTCACCTTAGGGTGAGCTTGCTTTTTCTTGTCTTTAGTCACAAAGATTAATTCCATGAATTGAAACACCTTTGAGTTACTCTGATCACAGCCTGCATAGGAGTTTTAAAATCAGAACTGATAAGTCCTTGGGAAATAGAGTGACTTTTGATGGATCAGAAGCGCTGTCTTCAGTACCTTCCAAACTGTTGGCTCAGAGAGGGTGAAGCCTCTCTACCCGTATGAAAACTGCAAAACTGTTGCTTGCTTCTTTCTTTTCAGACTACTATGCGGTGGTCACTATTCCGGCAGGAGCGCGCAGCATCCAGCTCCAGGAAATGCAGATCTCGAGCAGCTACCTTGCAGTGCGCAACCTCAGCAAGAAGTATTATCTAACGGGAGACTGGACAATTGACTGGCCAGGAAAGTTCTCTTTTGCTGGAACCGTTTTTGATTATCAACGCTCTTTTAACCATCCGGAGAGTCTATATGCAGCAGGACCGACTAATGAGACGCTGGTCTTTGAAGTAAGTTTTCTGCTGTTTATTCTTTCCTTGATGTCTATTACAGAATTAGCAACGACAGCTTTAGCTCTGTGTTGTCGCTCTCAGCGAGATTAAAGAATAGCATTGAGCCACGACAGTGTTCAGACTTAATTGTGTAGTCATGCTAGATTGAAAGGCCTTTCACTGGTTTATTGAGCTCTGAAGTTTTAGTAAAATGTCGCATGTTCTGAGAAAAGAAAAATGTGTGAAATGCACCACGTACCACTATTTTTCGGTTGCTGCACAATGGTAACAAAGATTATAAACCCGTCCAATAAGTGGTATACAATAAAATTCAGTGATGTAAAAATTAAGTCTAATATCATGTTAAAGCTTAAGGGTAACAGGTTCAAATAATGCTGCTGAAACTTCAGGCACATGTATCCATTTTTATATCTTCTTTGGGAAACGTATGGTCTGAGTACTGTACACGGGCTCCTATGTAATTTCTCGATTCAGTTTTATTGCTGACAGAATCTAGGATAATAAATTTTACATGTATTTATCTCCTAATCAAATTTATACCTACTCCATCTGCCAGATGCCCTGTGTTGGAACTATGTTTAGCAGAAAATAAATTTGGTGCTTATGCAGTTTGTTCCAGTGTTAGAATTTTGAAGCCGGTCCCAAGTACTTTTGCTCTAAGAAAAACCTCTGTCTGCATTAGGTTGCTTTATGAGATGGTCTCTGAGACCAGAGCATCTGCTGGTCAGCGGCCGGCGGGGCCGCGCGCGTCCCACTGCTGCCAGCTCCAGTACTCTGCTGCTTTATGAGAAAGCTCAGGCAAATCCCAGGATTTGTAGCTCATCTGTTACGTCCATTTGGATGAGTCCTTCGCTGTGAGCAGGCAGGAGCCCTCCCCAGAAGGGCTCGGTTTCTTCCCTCACCTGCCAGCAAAATCCATGTTTTCCTCCAGAGCGCCCCTGGGAGCGGGAGCCTGAGAACCGCAGCCGCCGTGCGAGGCAGCGACTTGTGGCTCCCCACGCACGCCTCTACTACCC